GCTTCTTCCTCGCTCTCAGGCTGGGAGTCAACACACTGCTGCTTCCACACTGACGCTAAGTACTCCCCTGCGACTCTGTTGGAGGCTGAGGAGGAGGTTTAATGGTCATTTTCTCATGCCTTACGGTATGGGAGCTGAGCTAAAACAGGGTAAATCAGATTCTCTGTTTGTAAATCCTCTTATCCAACGGGCTTTCTCAGCCTTTGACTCTGAGTATATGAGTCTATTCAGGGGGCCCCAGGCAATAGTTAGCCGAGGTTTCCCAGTTGGTCAGAATGCACCCCGCAGATTTTTTTAAGTACTTCTGGCATCACTTTTAGATAAACAGTTCTGGAGACAATAAAGCCCCCATGCGCCAACCTCTCCTGAAGATCTGGGACAGCAGTGGCTTTGGCCCGGTGCAGTTTATCCCATGTGGCCTCGCCTCAACATGACACTGATCTTTCTTGACAGCAAAGCACAAAAGGAAAAATAGGAAATGACAGGTCAAACCCTGGGCAGAGTCTTTTCTCTTACGTCTTTCTTGTGAGTTCCTGCAGTTGTTAAAGGTTGTGCCAATGCCCTTCCACAGAGACCCACAGCGTTGCAGGATGCTGGTTTTGTCCCACGGTTAATGTGCTTGAGGGTCCCAGAACACTGAGCACCGAGCTCCTTTTTGAAAGTTGCTATCAGTTAGCGTTTAGTCACCCAAGAGGAATCCTGCCTTCTTTCCATGCCAGGAAGAACAGGAGGCTGTGTTGAGGAGGAATAAAGGAACTGGAGTTCTGTGAGACACCTGACTAGGCACAGAGCTGTAATCTGAACAGGAGAGAGGGAGTAGAGACTCGAGGATTAGGAATCTGATGTTTGGAACTTTCTAACCAGAGTGGTATTTTTTTAGGTCACAGAATCTGAGACTAGGAAGGGATCTTGGAGATCATTCAGCCCAAACCCTCCTTTGATTTGAAGACAAGGAAGTCTATAGAAGAGCATGACTTATCAACTGCTTGGGGAGAGCCACGGCTAGGATACCCTGACTCTCTTGACAGACCAAACCTAAGAAAGGCTGCTTGCAGTGGGAGGAGAACGAGGAACACTCAGAAACAGAGAGTGTGCTGAGTTTGACAACTGAGATCTCTCAAGGGTGGCCAAACAGAGGCAGTCTTAGGCCATCTCTCACTCGGACTGGGCAGAAGAAATGAATGCAACTCCCTGCTCCCAGGAAAGGTTCCCGGGCATCAGAAAGTTTCTGCTTCCCGTCCTGCTGCTGCTCACTTACTTCATGTCTTGGAGGAAGATCAGGCTCTATCAGCAGGGCTCCAAGGCCTCACCAGTCCCTGCCATTAACCTGTCAACTGTAATCAGCCCTGGCTCCTAGCAATGACCCTCACGTGGGAGGAAAATAAAAGTGGAACCACATGGGTGGTCATCTGGCCAATCACGCATGGAAGGAGCGGGGACCACTGGGCAGTCATTTAACCTCTCTGAGTTGCAATGTTCTCAACTCAAAAGGAACAGGTTAGATCAAACACTTTTCCTATTTGGGATGGCCCTTTGTCTATTTCATTGGGCCTTTGTGAAGATAAATTAGGGAAGGATTGTAGAATATAAGGAAATTAAAAGGCGTTATTCTTACCATCATCATTTATGGAATATTCCTCAGCATGTATTGTGGGGGCCCATCAGCATTACTGGTCACATTTTTCATAATTGAAAGTTTGAAGGAACTTATTCTTCAGTTATGTGTTGCCAGTACTATTTTGTGAGATAAATTTTAGACATATTTACAACTACATTTTATGGTCATTTATATATTCAAGTTTTCTATGTCTTCTTAAGGCATTGTTGATAGATTATCTCTTCATAGAATATTGTCCGTAATACTGAGCTTTAAGCATTTATTGACATAGAAATGTACATGTAATTTAAATAACTGATGGCAGCTTTCGAAAAGTAGCTCGGTGCTCAGTGTTCTGGGACCCTCAAGCACGACAGCCATGGAACAAAACCAGCATCCTGCGCGCCCTGGGTCTCTGCGGAAGGGCAACACACAGACTTTAACAACTGCAGGAACTCACAAGAAAGGCGTAGGAGAAAAGACTCTGCCATTTCCCATTTTTCCTTTTGTGCTTTGCTGTCAGGAGAGATCAGTGTAGATTTTTAAAGGTTTCTTTACTTATATATATTTGCTTATATATACTTATTTCTTTTTAATTTTCTTTACTTATGTTACGTTCTTATATTAAACTAGCCTGGGGGTTGTCCATTTTGCTTCTCAAAGCATTAGCCTCTGGTTTTATTTACTGTTTTTTGATTATTAATTTTGCCTCATAATTTAAAAAAATCATTTGCCTTTGTGTTCTTTAATTTTTAATGAAAAAGCCCCTCTATAATTATAGAAGAAGCTAGGCGGTGATATTTCCTCGCATGTTTGAATACACAGGAAAATGGCATGTTTTTGATACAGGAAAAAAAAATCAACATCTTGATGCCCTTTGCCTCCAGAAAGAACCACAGTAAACCATTCCAGACAGAACCCAATCTGGCCTTCTGGTTTTCTCTGGGGAGTGAGGGAAGTTTGTGGCCTTGTAAGGGGGAAAAAAAGGTGGTCTCGTATGCTCTCTCTCATTCCCCAATTCAAGTAAGACCTATTCCGAAATTACCCTTCCTCTGGGAGCACACACCTCCATCACTGGAGAGCTGGGCAGAGGAGGGCTGATGGGAGCTCTCGGTGAGATCTAATTCTCTTCAGACTGAGGAAGTTGGTCTGTGACCCTGAGGAGAGCGAGGGCAGCTTCCAGATCAGCTGTTAACTTTCCTCATTCTCCTAGTTGTTCCTTCTGGTGCTTGATCCGTGCTGGGCACTGTGCTAAGTTGTTTACATGAATCAACTTAAGTCTGTGGTGAAATTGGCAGTCATGTGGTCCCCATGTTTTAAGGGAAGAAAAGTAGTCACACAGCCAGGACTTGGACCCAGGTACGTGGGGCTGCAAAGCTTATATTTTTAACCACTCGACTGCACCACATTGCAGTTTATTGGTGCTGACCTTGATCCCTAGAGCACAGCTTTATCATTTAAGGAGGAGCTTCGTTGAACCTGGGAATTAGCAATCAAAATGAACACACAGTGCTCTCTTCATGTCCCTATTATTTCTCCTCAGAACTCACTTCCATTTTGCATCTTAAAATAAGCAAAACGTTTGCATCGAAAACACTTTGTCTGACATCTGAGTAATCACTATACTCTCCACCCTATCAGTCGCTATCACTATTACTGCCCCAAAGCAAGGTGGGTGGAGGGCAGGTAGGAGCAGAGGGTTGAGGGGATGGTTAATAGAAGAAAATGGGAGATGGAGACCGGAGATCACATGCCAACTCCTCTGAACCTGTGGTATGTTTAGACACAGGGAGGTTCACTTTAAACTCTCCCACACAATATCATTTCTTAAAAGTTAATGTTTAAGTGTCAAATCCCTTTACTGGACACCACAGTTCTGCAGCCTTTCTGCTCCAGAAGCATTCTGCCTCGAGAATTAGCTGGCTGATTTTTTAGCCTCCTGAGAGAGAAAGTGAAATAAAACAAAGGTCAACTTGCAACTTAATTGAGTGTAATGGAAAGTGAAGAGAGCTAGCAGCATCAAGAGAGTCACAGCAAACTTGGGGGTGAGCCCTGATTTCTCCCATCCCTGGTTTCTCTGGAAGTTCAAGCGGGGCAGCAGGAGACACAGGGCCAGGGGATGCTGTTCTCTGGGATCTACGTGTCCCACTGACGTCAGCACGGACATTCAGAGCCCCTGGTAAACACATACATCCAGGGCGTATGTTTGTCAAGAGCCACAGTAGGTGTTCTTAACACTCTAGCTACTCACGCCTGTTGATTGATGACATTCACTCGTGCTTTTTGAAAAATACAGATATATATTTATTCAGATACCAAAAAGCAAAACCCATCTATAAAAGACAAGACGTATTTTGAGATTTCATGAGGGGCTCCCCTTGCTCTGTTTTGGCTGAAACGGGACACCATTGATGGGACTGTTGCTGATGCCCAGGGAGGGAGAGAGGAGGAGGCCAGGCAGACAGGAGATGCCCTCGGGTGCCTGACAATAGAGAAGGAAGTCGGTTTCTGTACTTACAATAGCAGCTGGGGTGGCAGCCAGCACACAGTAGAGCACCAGAGGGGTGACGAAGCTTTCCTCCTCAGTCCCCGGGTAAGGCTTCATTAAATCCCCGTCCTGACAGAAGAATCCTTGGATATGCACCTGAAAAGTGTCGGTGCATTCGAAGTAGTAGGCAAGCAGCACTGTCCCAGCCATGATGACAAGCTGAAAATAAAGCATGGCCACACAGAGACATTAGCTGGGCTTCCGAGCGGCCCTTGCCCCATAGAACATACTCCCTCCATCACCCAGCAGCTCTCACTGGGGAGTGTGCACGCCTGGCTCACGTGCTCCAGGCCTGGGGAGGGTGTGCTTGCTTGGCTGCCGTATAACATCTGTCATGTAAACCTTCCAGCAAATAACGGGCAGCCCCGTCTGAAAGACTGGATAGAGACCTGGCTTCTGCTGCATCCTTCTGGGAGGTACGCGGGAAGCAAGGCAGAGGGTAGGATGTCAACGGGTAGCGGTGCCCAAGTTGGCAAGATGGAGATGTGCAATCTATTCGCAAGAAATTCCATGGCTCTGTGAGATAGACTTACCTCACTGTAAAGTATTCAAGGTAAGTTGGATTACAAACGAGTGAGTCAATGAATGAATGACTGGAAAAGCAAAAGCACACAGGGTTGGAGGGAGATTGTTAGGCTCACACACTAAATTACCTCACAGGGCTGCAAACATAATACATACAGGTATTCTACATTCCTCATGACCTTTATTCCCAAACGCTTTCACCTGGAGATCAAAGATTGTTGCTGATGATTACAGACAAATACTCTGTGCAAGGCTCAGACACAGAAGGGACACAACTATTCTGTAATTCACCTGAGAAATAGCCCAGATACCCACTGAGGTTAGACCCAGCCTGTAATAAGTA